ATAAGGGGTCAAAGTAATGAAGGGGAGGAATATTCATAGGTATTTGGGGAACTGGACAGGCTTTTTCGGGAAACGGGTGCCACTTCTTTTCTTTCCTTATGTGGTTGTATCCTGCTGTTGCTATGGCAGTTGTAAACTGTCATGGGGTTGGTGTGTGTGTTCCGTGATATGGTAATATATTACAGTGAGTGTATAATAAGCTGCGGGGTCTATGTCAGGTCAAGTCAGACTGCCTTGTTGCCTCCTACCGGTTTTAACTGGTTTTGACCATATGTCTCAGCCATCTCCTCCTTCCTCTCTTTGTGGTTTCCTGTAAGCTAAAGAGAGTGTGTTAGGCTTGTTCTGAGCAGGGTTGTGGTTAATGTCTTATGGGGTCGGTGGGCCCAGTAACAGTATCAGATAAGTCCATGGAAGTGAATTGCTGAAGAGGAGTTAAGGTGCATGTAATTGGAGATGAATACTGCTAGGTCTATAATAGTTCCTGTATTGGACATTCTTAAAAGGAAATACAGCATAGATTATTTAGACTGTCGGAAATTATTTTCTCAAATGATAATATATAATTATTGATAGGCTAGTTATTTACATCTTTTACAGTAAAGCTCAATAAATAGTTTTTGAGAGTGTGTGTATATCAGGTTCTTGAGCACTGGGCATTAGAGATACAAAATTGGATAAGACATGGTCTCACTTCTTGGGAAACTTCAGTGATTCTGTTCTGGCATAAGAAGCATGAGTAGGGGCCGGCCCGTGGCTTAGCGGTTAAGTGCGCGCGCTCTGCTACTGGCGGCCCGGGTTTGGATCCCGGGCGCACACCGACGCACCGCTTCTCTGGCCATGCTGAGGCCTCATGCCACATACAGCAACTAGAAGGATGTGCAGCTATGACATACAACTATCTACTGGGGCTTTGGGGAAAAAAAAAAAAGGAGGAGGAGGATTGGCAATAGATGTTAGCTCAGAGCCAGTCTTCCTCAACAAAAAGAGGAGGATTAGCATGGATGTTAGCTCAGGGCTGATCTTCCTCACAAAAAAAAAGCATGAGTAGGATCACTAAATGTAACCTATTTCTAGAATTATACTGCCATAGGAAATTTGTGAAATTTGGTTTACTTGGATTAAGCAACTGGGAAAAGATTGATTAAATATTAACTTTTAGGCTTATAAATAAATTTAATTTTATAAGTTTGGGGATTTTTTAAAAGTAATTTTTGGTTACTTAAATTGACAGTATTCTTTCTAAAATAATCTACAATAATGTTGATTTTGACACTAGGTATACTAGTTGTTTATTTAGCAGATATTTACTGAGGGCTACTTTGTACCAGGTACTGGTCCATAGGGCTGGGGCAAAAATCTCTGCCTTCAATGTAGTTTACATTTTTATTTATTTATTTATTTTATTTATTTTTTTTCCCCAAAGCCCCAGTAGATAGTTGTATGTCATAGTTGCACATCCTTCTAGTTGCTGTATGTGGGACTCTGCCTCAGCATGGCCGAGAAGCGGTGTGTTGGTGTGCGCCCGGAATCCAAACCTGGGCCGCCAGTAGTGGAGCGCGGGCACTTAACCGCTAAGCCACGGGGCTGGCCCAATGTAGTTTACATTTTAATCAGAGGATGCTGATAGTAAATAAATAAGTGAAGTACATTATATCAGTTTGTGATAAATGCTATTAAAAAAAATAACACAGGGAAAGGGGATAGGAAGTGCAAGGAGGTGGGGATGGCGTTTGCAGCTTTAAATCTGGTGATCGAGAATGCTTAATTGAGATGGTGGTATCTGAGAAGAGATCTGAAAGAGGTGGTGGGAGCAAATGCAAAGATTCAGAAATGGAAGGTTGCTTGTCATTTTTGAAATATATCGAAGCTGCGAATATAGGTGAAGTGGAGTGAGGAGTGAAGATGAGAATAAAGAGAAAACAAGGGCCAGATTTTCTGGGGCCTTTAATGACTGGCTTTTACCCTGAGGGAGATTGGAAGCCATTGGAAGCCTTTGAACCTAGGATCACTCTGCAGCTGTGTGATCTTGAATAAATAAGAGGAGGGCAAGGGCAGAACAGGAGCCCAGTTGAAAGCGTTAACTATGCAGGTGAGGATGATTGGCTTGGACCTGGGTAGATGCAGTGAAGTTGTTGAGATATAGTCAGGTTCTAGATTTTTTTTTGAAGGTAAAGCCACAGGATTTATGCTGATAGATAAGATGTGGATTGAGAGAGAAAGAGAACAGTCATGGATGACTCCATAATTTTTCACATAAGCAACTGGTAAGATGGAGTTGCTGTTAACTAAGTTGGAGAAGATTGCAGGAGGAGCAGGCTTATGGAAGAAGATAAGGAGTTTGGTTTTGGGTACATTAATTTGGATGCCTGTTAGATATCTAAATGGAGATCGCTTTTATTTGTGAACTAATTTAGACTACACATATTTTAGTCTGGCAACAACAATGTCAGTGTTTGTTGTGTGGTTATCCTTTGGTTTGGTTTATGCAATAGATAATTACAGCAAAGTGAATTGTGAGTTGAATTTTAGGGGATGGATTTTTTTTTGTTTGTTTGTTATTAAATGCACTATGTAGAAGCATCTGAGATTGAGCAGGTGCCCATTTCACATTAATTTCCAGCTAAAACCAGATATTGATTCTTGTGAAAGTGACTCCCAGGAGTTTGATTTGAACACTTCAGGTGAAAAGGAGGTTGGATGCTTGGTCCATTGGATGTTGTAATATTACCTACCATCCTGGAATCAGAAAGGATTTGTTCTTGTCTCCGAGAAGGAAATTATTAAAACTTTGAGATTTGTGACTCGCCCAAGTTTTGACAGGTAGTGTTGAGTGGTTAAGTCGCTAATCCAGCACCTTTTAATTTGATTATTCTACGTTACCTGCCCAGGCTGTTGTTCCCACCTAACAGTTTGCTTTTCTTTTACTCAGTTTTCAGCATTTCCCTTTTTACTCTTTTATGTTGTTTCACCATCCTGCTGCAGTATCCCTTGGGAGATTCTTTTATGACTTGGGAATCCTTTGACTCTGCACTCCTTTGAAGCTTGGGAAACACAATTTCTCCATTCATTTCTTTTTACTTGCGCAATTTTTTTTTGCAATATTGCTTTTTGCAGTATTACACTTTGCCTTAATACTGCAGTTGCCAGCCTAAACATTTACTTAGTAAGTCAATTTCTTATCAGTTATATGTTTTAAACTCTGCATAATATATTACTTAGGATGAGTAATTTAATAATGCTATGAAATATTGGTATTGAACCAGTTGTCTTAGTGACTGGAGCTCAGATTGAATGTGAGTTACAAGTGAAAGATTTTATGACTATTTCCATGAGTGAAATATGAGCAGTTACTGTATCAAGACCAAGTTATTAAAACAAAATTGAAAGCTGAAGCAAATATGATTCAGAATATAGAAATTTGTTTGATTTTTCAAGCATTAGACTAATGGTCTGTCTGATAATTCATTGACTTATTTTGAGGCATCTCCCAGTCAAAATGAACGTTGTGTATAAATTTTGAATCTATATTAGTCTATCCTTTAAGACTTAATTTTAGCTATATGTATATGTACTCTTTTATCTATAAAAGTAATGAGTAAATAAAGTAATAAGCTATATACGTAAATAGAATTCAACCTAGAATATAAGTCTTATGACAGAGGCACAAAGTACTATATGCAACTTGAACGGAAGTAGAGACAATGAGATGGAGGTGGTCTAAGTCTCAGAGAAACTTGTAAAGAGATAATGAAATGAAAGTGCAGAAACGACAGCTTGAGTGATATAAAATGGATAGTTATTAAATCTATTTTCTCTGACTACGGCATGCACACCAGAGGAATATTTAAGGCAAGTATTTAGAGAAGTTAAGGGTAATTTAGGTCCTCCAAATTTGGCTGCAATTTTATTTACCACTATTATCCAATACTATACTTTTTCGCTCTCTTTTTTTTTCATCCATCTTTTGTTGTCTTCCGTCCTGCAGCCAGAGTGTCTGCATCCCTTCGTGATAGGCCATCTTCTCAGGATCCCTTCATGTTAGGCCACCCTCTCAGGCCTCATTTTACTTGTACGTCTTCCCTAGGTAGCTTTAACTAGGCTAGTCTTCACTGGTATTCGTTTTTGAAATCCATTTTTGAATTTGTGTAGATTGTCATCTTTTTAAGGGGAGAATCACCCTGATAGGCTTTGAATTCTGAGGGCAGTGACTGTGCTTGTTCTGTCAGCCATTGTGTCTTTAGCATCTGCCACATGACTGTGGTACATAGCGTTGTTCAGAAACGTTTTTAGCTGACTGGAGAAATAAATTTATACTACTTTGGCTTTCATAGAATACATAGGGCATAAATTGGTTGCCATGAATATATTTTTGGCAGGTTTAAAAAGTTGTCTCATATCCAAAGAATTTAGATTAAAAACTTTTTTGATAAATACTATAGTTCTTGAATTTACTTTTGAGTATATAGATACAGTTTATTGCTGGATCTCTCTTTGGTTTGTGGGTTACTTGTCATAGGTAACTTACTTTTTAGTATTCTCTATAAAATGAAATGAGGATTACCGTTTTAACTGGGCCTTTTGGCAGTTAAACTAATTTGACAATTTGTATTTGTAGATTGCCTGTCTTTTAGTGTGCTTGTCCTAATTGGTTTCATTTAATGTTGAATTATACAGTTCAGTCTTTATATAACTTTTGTACAACATAGCTATCTCATTTTTGTTACTTAACATTTTTGATATAAAATTAAAAAAAAAATTTTTTTTTAAATATTAATTTAATAGAACGGTAGCAATACCAGTGGTAGAGAGAATGAAGAAAATCTTAAGTGGTTAATTATCTTAGAATTTAAGCAGTGTTTGCCTTTAGTTAATCCAGTGTGAAATACAACTGTATTTTTTTAAGTGCAACACAGCTAAATATTTTTATCATATCATTCCTTTCCTCTTCCTTCCCTTAAACTTGCTCCCTTCTGTGTCCCCTGTGTACCCATTCCCTGCAGCGATCCCTGCTGGCTGTGGTGGAGATTGGTGTGCTGTGAATTTCATAATCACCCAAATGAGTACCAGAGGAGTCTAAGAAACCCTGGCAACTGACTGCTTGCTCTCACCAGGAATAGGGACCTTTTGTCTGAATTTCCTGCCCTCAGGTAATACTTCTATTCCCCATCATTTTGGGGTTCTTTTCTTTCTATAAATGCAAGCACTTATTATACCCCACATGAAGATACTTTGGGAATATTTTCCAATTCTTATTATTTTAGTCAGATACTGATTTCATTTTTTTTACTATGTAGCTGCAAGCTCCTGCAATTCCTCTCTTAGAATGTCTTTTCCGATATATAAGGTTTAGCAGTGCAATTAAAGTGATAACCAGTTCTTTCTGATGTTGCAAGAGAGAGTTTTATAACTTACACTCAGCTATTTGGAAATAGTAGTTAGCATTTGATCTGCTGTTTCATGGGTAAGGCTTCATAGTCTAATGTAAATAATGAGGTATGAAGGCTCTTTTGGTGAAGAGGTTGTTTTGATCAATTCTCTCATTGAAGGACTTAAGCGTTTATTTTATGTACTTAATGTTAATTATAATCTTTATCAAAGAGATTGAAATAACTCTCATGAACAGCAGTGAATGTAGGATTCATTTTTGAAGAAGGTAAAAGCTCCTCTCCCCATTCTTTTCTCCCTCTCTCCCCTGCCCTTTTTAAAAATTCATTATCAAGGAAAGCAATTATGTTATAAAACCAGATTCCTGGAAATGGTGCTGAATTTCTTTCAACGTAGGTCTCAATGAAAAACTTAGAAACTCATATTGTTGAACACTTCTACTGCTTGGGAAATTTACCCACATAAATAGTTTGAACCTATTCTAAAAGTCTAGTAAGAAATTGATAGTTAAAGACTAACCATGAGCAGAATTGTGCAGCTCATTACCTATTTACCCTAGGAGTAATGAGACAGTTAAACTTGTTGGTCATATGTTAGCTAGCAATTGTATAGGTATGATGACCTAAATATTGTTTTCCAATATTCTTGTCTGCCTTGATTCCATGCTATCATTTGGGTATCTGGATCTCAACAAAAATTGCCAAGGGAAAAATGCCAAACTTTAACCTTAGGTAGACCATTGAGATATTCTTTAGAATATTGATAGTTAAGGACTTTTGTTGTCATGGCATTCAAGGATGGTTCTGATTTTGTATATACCTCTAGCAAATCCTCTGGGACTTTTGCTCCTGAAGTGTAGTCATAACTGTAATCCTTTGCTTTTTCTGGATTACACTTCCTTAACATATCTTTTTTGGCCTGGTTTGTGCTTGGTTTATTGAAGATGAGGTGTTATGATTTTATTCTAAGTTTAAACCACAGCTATCCATGCATTTATTCAAGTCACTTACCAAGATTGATTCCTTTTTCTTCTTTACCTTCTCATTTTAATCAATTATGATTCCTTTTTATTTAAATAACTCTTGAATTTATCTTTTTTATCCTGAACCTAGCACATAGCAGACTACCTGGCACAAACTAGATATTAATAAGATTTGAATATCTCTGCTGTCACTACTCAGATTTAACTCATCATTTCTTGCATCAGTTGTTGCAACTAAGTATTCTCATTTCCTTCTGTTCTCATACTTATTTATTCCATCCTTGGCACTGTTACCAGAGAAATCTTCCCAAAATACTGATCTTATCATTTAATTTCTTAGTAAAAATCTTTTAATGGCTCATGTTTAAGCTTTTTTTATAAAAAAATTTGCTTATAACAGTAGAATTTTTTTGTCCAAAGACATATTAAAACAGTACTCCACTGCATAAAATAGACAAAGGTAGAGCTTCTCTAGTTGAATCAGTAATTAGAGGGGATCAGCTGTCATATCCTTTCCCTTTTTATTTCTTCTCCCACGTAGGTTGAATCATGAGCAGTCTCCTTAGGGGCACTGTGGGAACAATACTGATGTGTAGGATGAAACCCACATTCCTTGGCATGGGATATGAGAGTCCTTCATGATCTGGCTTTAGTCCATCTTTCAAGGCATATCATTTCTTTCCAAACTACCTGATGCCTTATATGTCATCTATGCCAACTGTGTGATCCTATAACCTTGAACCTGCTGCTGCTCTGCCTGAAATGTCTTCCTCTGCCCTATTCACCTGGCAAAAACTTACTCTTAAAAAACAGCGTAAGTGCTACCTCCTCCATTAAGCCTTCCCAAAGCATTATTCTTTTTAACAGAATTGATCACCTCTTCCCTTGTGCCTCCATCTTATCCTGTTCTCATTTTTATTGTAATATCTGTCACACAGTGCCAGGCACAAATAAGACCATAACGTACTGCAGTGATTTGTTTATGTGCTTGTCTCTAATATTAAACTGAGAGGTCTTTGAAAGCAGTAATTATGTCTTATTTCTCTCAGTTACTTGAGAGCCTAATCAGTGCTCAGTTTTTACCATGAAGGCTGATGTATGTCTAGTTGTGTCAGATGTTCTTATGTTTCAACAAAATTCAGAAACCCAGATTTTAATGTAAGGTCTACGCATTTTAAATGTTAGCCACAAATTTAGGTCTTTTAAAACACTGTGCAGGCCAGACAAAACATATCTGTGGGCAAAATATAGCTCACAGGCTGCCAATTTGCAGCCTCTTCCATTCTTTAAATGTTTATGTGGAAAAACTGGTTAGGCAAGACTGGTTGAATTTCTTTACACACACATTACAAAAATAACCAAGCCAAAGAAACTTTTTGATTAAGAATGCTCAAAAAAAAGGGTAATTTTTTATGAGCATGCCTGATCCTTGTTCCATTAACACTGTAGGTTTCTTTTCTTTCTTTTTTTTTTTTTTTTGTGGTACAGACAACTGTCCCTGAGCTAACATCTGTTGCCAATCTTCCTCTTTTTGCTTGAGGAAGATTGTCCCTGAGCTAACATCTGTGCCAGTCTTCCTGTATTTTGTACGTGGGACACCACCACAGCGTGGCTTAATGAGCGGTGGGTAGGTCTGCACCTGTGATCCGAAGCCGTGAACCCCAGGCCGCTGAAGCGGAGTGTGCGAACTTCACCACCATCGCACCAGACCGACCCCTAGGTTTCATTCTTTTAAAAAATAACGTGTACGCCTTAAATATTTACTAAGCCTCACAAATTGACATTGAAAGCTCCTTGAGGTTGAGAATTGCCATATACTCCTACAATACCTAGTAAATGTTCAGTAAATATTGTTGAGTTGAAAATTGAGCAGTGTGATAATGGAATGGTAATTGATCCTAAAATACCATTTAAGTTAAAAATTATACAAATTTGGAGCCAGCCCTGATGGCCTAGTGGTTAAAATTCAGCGCTCACTGCTTCGGTGGCCTAGGTTCACTTCCCAGTCGCAGAACCACACCACTTGTCTGTCAGTTGCCATGCTGTGGTGGCAGCTCACATAGAGGAACCAGAACGACTTACAACTGAGATATACAACCATGTACTGGGGCTTTGGGGAGGGAAAAAAAAAAGAGGAAGATTGGCAACAGATGTTAGCTCAGGGAGAATCTTTCTCTGCAAAAAAAAAAACAAAGACAGAAAAAAAAATCTTAAAACAAAAATTATACAAATTTGATTATAGTCTTGGCTCTGCCTTGGTGTGACCTTTAGCAGTTGACTTAACTCCTCTGGGCCTCATATTCTCTACTATAAAATGAGGACTTTGGATTAAAGGAACTTTTCAGGTGCTAAAATTCTAAAGTTATTTGATATTGTTTGCTAGTATGAGGGCTGCTTATGGCTCTACTCAGTTTTTTTACTTGGCTTAAAGTTGCCTCTAATATCTTTAGATGACATATGCAATGGTGTGATTTGCAAAAAGCCATGGTTCAAATATCTTACAAATTCTTATTTCCTTGTATTTTATTAAGTTAACTAGTCCATTCTTTTTTATCAAGAGGTATATTATTATTTTGTTCAGTGTCTCTCAGTCAGGATTTGTCTAATATTTTTCTCATGGTTAGAATGGGGTTATGGGTTTTTGGTAAGAAAACCACAGAGGTAATGTGCCATTTTTATTATGTCATTTCAAGAGTACATAGTATCAACATGTCTTATTGTTGGTGTTGACCTTGATCACCTGGCTGGCATAGTGTTTTTCAGGTTCTCAACTGTAAAGTTACTCTTTTCCGCACTTTCACCCTGTACACTTTGGAAGGAAGTACTATACACAGCCCACACAAAAGGAGTGAGGTGTTATGTTCCACTTCTTTGAGGTTGGAATATCTACATATGTTATTTGGAAATTTTCTGCATGGAAGATTTATCTATTCTCTTCCTGTTGTTTATTTATTCATTCATGTATTTATATCTGTGTACTGATGTATATTCATTTTATACTTTGGTTTATAATCCAATAATGTTTTATTGCCCAAATTGTTCCAGCTCTGCCATTGGGAGCTCTTTTTTTTGGCTCCTGTGTCCTTTCACTTGATTTTATTTTTTATGTTGGTCCTGATATTCTGTAAGCTTGCTAAACTCATTTATTAGTTCTGGTAGCTTTTTTTTTTTAAGATTCTGTAGGATTTTCTACATAGATGATCATATCGTCTGGGAAAAAAGACAGTTTTTACTTCTTTTCTGAACTGAATGCTTTTGGTTTTTTTTTTTTTTTTTCTTATTGTGTTGTCTAGAACCTCCAATACAGTATTGAATAGAAGTGGTGAGAGCAGGCATCCTTGCTTTGTCTTAGGGGAAAAGCATTTTAGTCTTTCATCATTAAGTGTGATTTTAGCTGTAGGGTTTTTGTAGATGTCCATTATAGTTTTGGGGAAGTTCTCTTCTGTTGCTAGTTTGTTGAGAGGTATTTTTCCATGCATGGTGTTGACTTTTGTCAAATACTTTTTTATGCCCCTATTGAGATCATGATGTGATTTTACTTTTAATGTGGTGAATTACATTAGTTGATTTTTGAATGTTAAACCAACCTTCATTCCTGGAATAAATACTTGGTCGTGACATATTATATTTATATATTGTTAAACTGTGGGTCATAGCGTGCCTTGTTAAATCAGTATAGTAGGTTATGATCACCATTATAAAAGAATGAAATAGGATCGAAAATATCTGACTATGTTAAACTATTGCTTCATGAAATTTTTGTTTCAGTTGTGTGTGTGT